TGGATGGATGGATGGATGGATGGAGGATAGATGGATAGATGGATGGAGGATGGAGGATGGGTGGGTGGATGGATGGATGGGGGATGGGAGATGCACAGATGGATGGATGAGTGACATTGAGAAGCCAATGCTAGGAAAACGTGTAACTTCCCTAATTCTGTGCATTTTACTGCAGTCGCAATTCTTAAAAAAACAAAAGCCCTTGGCAATTTAAATTCACTGTAGGACAAAGGCAACCACATTCCTTCCCGCTGTCAAATACACAATATAATTCTAATCTTTCAGAATGCACGCACGCACACACCAGTAGGGAGACCCCCATGGCCGTTGTAAAATTTTAACTAAAATGCATCAGTGTCCGTCCAAAGGTGACGACACACACTGGAATGCACAACAGGCACCCATGTTGGATGCACACCTTCAGCCAGTGAGCCACTGCCCACAAACACGAATGCTCTTCTCCAGAGAGGCAGAACCAGACTCCAATACTCATCATCTGGGGTCCGTCCCTCTCAAGGATGCCAGACCCTCGCTTCTGGTTTTCAGAGCCCGACACCATAACGCAGAACACTGACATCTTTTCTCTGCCACAAGGGCATGGCCTTGCTGTGACGGTGGGCCACCACCCCACCGGACCCACCGAAGGCTGTGTCCCCATGGCTATTTTCAGTAAACCCTGTGCCATCCATGGGAGACACCAACCGAGACGTCAAACCCTCAACCCCCCAGACGGAAACAGAAACAAGCCCTCCGTAAGGCACGTCTTGCCCAAGCTAATCCCACACCTGATGCCATAAACTCACTCAGCTTCTCTTGGCCAAGCTAAATTGCTTCGGGGGATGAAAACGGGGCCCAGAACACATGCACTGAATTTTAACAGAGCCCACTCACCTTCTTGCAGACCTGTGTGTAAGGAACACACGCTCTTCTATCGCACACGCGTGATCAATAAACCAAACTTGCTTTAAAATTAAAAAAAAAATCACATTGCGTTCTCTTTAGTACGGCAATGTCTGTTTTTAATTCTGATTGTGGCGGTCACCCGGCGTGTCCCCGTGAGATGTCCCAACATACTGTATCCCATCACAAAATGGGGGCACCCCTGGAGATGAGGCGTCCCCGTGGAACGAAGTGTCCGGTCTCACAGAACCGACCGTTCTTGCAAAAGACAAGCGCTGAAATGGTTCAGACCACTGTGAGTCGGTAGCTATTGAGGACTGAGGTAGAGACACCCAGTGAAGTCGAGCGCAACGGGCCCGCAACGGTTTTGCCTCCAAAGAGAGAGCTCCCCTCCCCAGATCCTGTTACGCGCGAGCTGTCCCCAGAGGCCACTTGGGTTAAAAACCCTCGGTTCTGCTCAACCAGTGGCTTCACCCAGTTCGAGGGACATTCCATTTCCCGCGCCAGCTAGACCCGTTCCTCTGGCTACCTGTAGCATGTCCCACATCGGGTGTCTGTCAATGGCACTTGGAAATCCTGTGGGGTTTTTGCAGAAGAGAACACGACAGCCCCCGTGTCACTCCTCAGCTACGCTTCGCAACATCGAAAGGAGAGGCACAGGTACGCTGTCTGAGCGTGTCCCCAAGAGAAGGACTTTCCACGGTCCTTGAGGGTCCCCAAGGTCCTGAATGCATAACACCAGTGTTATCAGCTTAGGGACAGAAGCAAGTCTGCTGTGGCGTTAGACCCAAAGTAGGACAGACACAGTAGCACCTGTCTGAGGCTGTTCTCGAGGGTCTGCTGGAAGCGGCCCCCTGCCGCCTGCTGCCGACACGCTGAGAGGAAGGGCTGACCTGTCCGAGAAGTGGCGCAGGTGTGGGTGGGGTGGACCAGTCGGGGGACTTCCAGCGGAGGCGCTCCTGTTGGTCCACCATAAATAAGCATAAATAGAGGCACAGAGTTGAACAGCTTTCTCCCTCTAGAAGGACCGGCCGGAGCGAGTGTCCACGTGACACAGCATCAGCGATCCGGCTCCAGCCACAGAAAGGCACAGACTACTGCAGAAAGCGGTCCAGCTTTGCCTGAATGCGGGCGAAAGCGTCCTTCCCCATGTAATCGATGCGCCCCTCTTCCCACTGGCGCCTTTCCTCCTCGGGGCTCAGCTCCAGGACCTTCTCCTCGATGGAAATCCGGGAAACGGAGATGGCCATGTCGACCTAGGGAACACAAACCAACAGCAAACGGCTGTGGAAGCTGCTCGTCGGACAGCGTCACACGCCGATGGCACCCCAGTCGGTTCGGCCACCGGTTCTACAAAGGGACCTCAGGGCGCAAGGGGGACGGTTCTCACGGCTGGTCGGGACTGCGTGTCCTTGGAACAAAGGATACATTTTAATGCAACAAAAACACAATGTCTATTATAAAAAAAACAACAACTATAGTCTTTTAAGATTTTTTTTTGTGGCCTAAGTTTTTATGAAATGTGATAAACTGTCATTGTACATGCGTTCACTTTTTCCTACGAACTGCTTTCGTTCTATCCACGCACAGCCACCCTGTCGGTCAAGGAAATTGCAAGAGCAGAAAACGGTCTTTCCCAGGACAGCTTAGCATGCCTCCTTTCGGAGAGCGCTTTCATTGGCGCTCAGTGACTTCCTGGGCGCTAGAACTTTCTAGAGTCAGCGGGACCCAGGGCGCCCCATCCCACACCAGTGCCCGGCAGCAAACAGTGCGGGAACTGTATCATCCGTGAGACAGGAGGCTGTCAGTATCAGAGACAACGGCAACGCCCCTCGATTTTATCGAACAGGGTGTTGCAGAAACTATTACACCGGGGCCATCTGCAGGTCAGGGAACACACACAAAGGAAGAAATAGCAACACATCCCAGTCAAGCAAACCAACAACTGCTTGTAAGCCTGTTTCCTGGGGGGGTCACAACACCCACATCACTGGACGTCACCCCACACACGTGCATCACTCCAGGAGGAAGGGTTTGGGTGCCATCCGGGATGATGACAGGACTGCACCGGAAGCACTCACCAGGGTTTCTTCCAGACCACTGCCCCATCTAATGTCCGCACCCCAGCTTTGTCAGCTGGGCACTCCATCTCCATCTCACGGAGGCTCAGAGAAGGTCACAAAGTCACCCGCCATCGCACGCCCACCACACGGCCGCGCTGCCCACAGCAGGCATGCCCACGCGACCCGCTGATAACCACACATCCAGCGGGTGCAGTCCCCAAGTCATTATTTCGGGGCTGACAGGGACAAATGGGCAAGCGCTCGCGGCACAGGCTAACCAGCTGCATTTCAGAAGGAACCCCGTCACCAGCAGCTCCAGGAATACATTCCAACTAGCACACTTGGCGTTGAAGACATTGACCAAGAGTGACAGACACAGTCACGTGCTCTCCAACGGTAGATTCTGACAAAGGCATCAGGCGAATTCCAGATAAAGTGACTGTCTGTGGCTTCCCCCAGATTCACAGGTTGAGACCTGACCCCCACAGTGGGGCAGGCGGTGAGGTCGTGAGGGGGGAACCTACATGAACCTAATGAGCTCAGCCCCCTTGTGGCAGGAACTCCCGAGAGGTGACATCAGACCATCGTTAGAGAAAAATCAGCTTTCACAGAATGTACCCACGGGGAGAAGGGCATTTAACAAGAGAACGTCTGTGCGAGGATGAAATTCCCTCATTTCATCCCTAAAGAAGGAATCGCTGCACACTCGACATGGAGCAGGAGCAAAACATTCACCCCCACGTTGTCCAGCTTTCAGACAATGGGTCATTTTAGACCACGGATCGCTGGGCATCCGTTTCCATGTGGTACAGGGGGACCAAAAAAAATGAAGCGTAGCCCCTCCATTTCAATTAACTTTTGCAGAACAGCTTTGAAAGAGAAAAAGGGACATGCTTGTTAGGGAAGACTGAGAGAGTGGACCGAGCACCCAGGGAAAGGCCGGAGAGCAGACAGACGGATTGGAGCCACTGGGAGAGGCAGGTGGATTCTATCTCAACAAAGTGAGGCTGGAAACCGAAGGAACCGCTGGTGCGCGCATGCAGCCGGCCCCAGGGAGAGCGGAAAGCACCCAGTAGGACCGCTGCACAAGCAAAGGTTTGGGGTACCACCTGCAGTGCATCCTGAGGCCTGCGGTCCCTGGTGACATCCACAGGGGGCTCCTGGCTTAGCTCCACGGACTCCTCCAATGGGTCACCTTCTGTCTTAGCCGCTGGCTTCTAGAAACATAACCATCCCAGCATGAGTGCGTGGTGAGCTTCGGAGAGCGGCCGTCGTCACCCAAATGGCGGACAACGCTCTCTTCCTGGGGGAAATCAGATCCAATGGCCGGGGTGGTGCTAGCCAGCCTTTTCTGCGAGACCTACGAAAGCTGTGTTTCACTGCTCCGAGCAGCCCACCGTCTCTTACGTAACACGTGACCATACGAGTTTTTACGTGATGGGTCAAAGTTAATTTTTGAGAGCGGGATTCCATGAGCTCACACCCAATGCCAAGGGGACACTTTACTAAGATTGCCTCTCTTAGTAAAATCTAAGCGTAGAGGCATCTGTCTGGGTTCCATCTTCTGAGGAACGATGCTAACAGAAGCCCGGCTTCAAAAAGGTACGTTTACGGGCGAAAAAACAAAACAAAACAAAACACAAAAACAAAACCAAGGAACATTCATGATCCTTCACTACTGATAGGAAACATGGCTCTGAGGTTGTGATGACTTTTGCTTTAATGAAGGCAGACATGCGTGCCCTACTGATGTTGTGTCTTTTTCTTCTCTGGTTCTTCCCAAAGCAAGATAGAAGATAAAGACCGAAGGACCCACGGGAAGTAGGGGTGGGAATCTGAATGGACAACCAGGCCCCTGCTCCACCCAGATGATAAACGCACTCAGGCCAATGCCACATATTCCTGGCTGGGGGAGCCACTCCGACAGGCCATGGGACATTAGCCTGGGTGGCCCGTGGCCACAGACACGCTGGCATGGGCGTGAGCCCTGCGACAGACAGGCGTGCTTATGAGGAAGTTTAAATCGCTGTACCGAGGCTGCCTGGGTCTCCGTGAAGTCTGCGCATTGCGGAGAAACTGACAACAACGGGTCGTACACGACTCCAGCGGACGTCTCCATGTCAGGCCAACCTAGCATCTGTCATAGAGAAACAGAGCAACAGCAGGTTAGGACAAACCTTCACGCACATCCATCCACGCAGCTCCACTGAAAACACTCTTACGTGCATCATCCCTGCCTCCGTGACAGACATTTGAGCCGCCCAGTGGAGGGGAGGTTGGGGGCAGAGCGCGCCAACGTCTGCGCCTGCTTCTTGGTCTCGGGTGCTCCCACCCAGCTCCGTGTCCTGGTCTCCCTGCATCTGGGGGCGGGGCGTGACTTTGGGGCGAATTCTCAGCCGTGACATTGAGGAGCTGTGGTGAGAACGGCCGGCTGCAGGCTGGGCACTGAAGCAGGCTACACGCTCCCCTAGCCTCTGTCCTGTCACCACAGGTCAGCTGTGCAGCAAGGCCTCTGCAGCCCATGTCAGCGGGGGCGTCCGCAAGGAAATGAAACCCTACGGACAACGGTTCGTGTCACTCTTTTCGCAAGGCTGCCACGGGTGGCACAGAGCTAAGACCGCCCCAGGTGTGTGGGAGTCGCCAGAATGGATAGTGCACAATGGCTGGCTTCTGCACGAGAGCCTAATTATTGTCTCGCAAGGAGCCGGAGGACCACAATGGGAGGTCCCCGGATGCCTGGATGACTCCATGGAGCAGAGCTGACGGCAACACAAGCAAGCCGTGGACTCCGACCTCTCGGGGGCTGTTTGTCGCAGGAGCTAGCCTCCCCTGATGCAGTCAGGCTCAGGAAGGACGCCTCCGCCCCCCCATTGGGAGTCCATACACGTCCAAAGGCCCCAGTGAGGACCCCAACGAGTATGAACCACACAGACCGGAGGATGTGGGCACGTGTGCCCATCCTCACTGCAAACGCACTGCAGAAATTGTGTGGCTGGGCTGAACTGGGCATGCTCAGGGGCTCTCGGCCCGTCCAGGCAGAGCTGAGCGTCAGTCCTGAAAATGCACCCTTCCCCCGCGATTCTGAGTGAGTTGACCACAGGGGTAAGCTGGCAACTCACAGACCCTATCCTGAACCTCTGGTCCCACCATGCCCGTGCCGGAGACAGTCCCGGTCATTCGTGTATTAAGCGAGGCACGGATTTATGCACCAAAAGGGCAGTCAGCGACAGGCAGGCAGGGGCGAAGGCCTTGGCGTGGTCTACGTGGCATGAGCCCCAGCACCAGGCAGCTCACTGTCAAGAGAGACAAACACCAGCTCGAAAATGACAAGCTGTGAGAAATCCGACGAAGGAAAATGATGAAGAATCAGGTGCAGCTTGATGAAGGTCACATCGACCTTGGAGGGAAGGGGGGAGGACCGTTGAAGGAGTAACGTCGGACACGAAGGCTGCGGAGGGGCAGGACTCAATGATGGAGAATGGCTGGACATGAGGTGAGACCCAGAGCACGCTGAGAGACAAAAGGGGTCGCACGAGGCCCAGAGAAAGGAGAACATTAAGAAACTGAAATAAATCGGCTGCCCAAACGTGACAGCCCCCAAAGTCATCATGGGTGGAACTCAGTAAAAAGACATACGTACAATGTAGAACACGATTATGTCTGTAAAACTCAGAAATAAACTGGGGTTCTAGAAACGACAGCATAAAGCGACACGATAGAGTTCCCCAAAACATGAAAGACCAAGATCATATCATAGCGGCTACATTTTATCCGGTGTTCATCACGGGGCCTTCAATCACACTCGTAAGCTTGTGGCGTCTTATTCCTTGGAGTCCTCCAACAGCCCGGTGAGGGAGATAAGTTTTTCTTGCTGCGGAAAAGTTTAATCTTCAGACAGAGATACCTGTCACCCAGGCCAGAGGTGGCGAGTGACAGAGGACGGTTTGGACTCACGCCTCGTTGACCAACCACCAAGCCCTCTTCAGCCCAGCGCAACGTGAATGCCTCCTAGGTCTCCGTGATCTAAAACAATGTTTAGCGGCAGAACAATGGATGAGATGAGTGCTACTACCCTAAAAATACGCATCCCATAGAAATAAGTCATTTCCTTACCTCATCAGGGCTGGCGAGTGGAATGGTCTGGATTTAAATCCTGACCGCCAGAGGACAATGGAGCCGGATACATTCCCTACTCTCTCTGAGACTCAGCTTATTGAATAATACGTAGCACAGACATTGGTTGCGATGGACGGAGGAAGCACTTGGCCCAGCACACAGTAGGTGCTCACACAAGATTCGTCGAATACGATTAGGGAAAACGCCAATTGTGTCACCTCAGTTTCTCTCAACAAAGAACCCATCAGCAAAGTCCACCTAGGCCATCACGAAACGGTAGCCCTCCTCCATTTAACTCAGGGATATATATTTGATAAGAAATGGTGAAATGATAATACAGCCCCCCAGCTCGTCTTTTGCAGATACGCTAGAATCTTACAGATTTAACCTAAGTTCAGGCCCCTCATGCTAACATTTTATTTTTAATAAGTTTTGTGGTTTGTTTTTTTTGTTTTTTTAATTGGGGAATTGGGGGGATGGGAACAGACAAGTTGCTGTCTTTTTGTTCTTCAGTCTAGTTGGGGAGGACGTTGCTTCACTGGCGCAAGTTGGCACCATCATTGCGCTCTTCCCGGGCGAGGCAGATCAGTCGCCGGCTTCTGGACGGCCGCTCACTG